CACTGCCAGTGTGTGGTTCTGTGTGAGAGACTGTAAATGGCTGGCACTGCCAGTGTGTTGTTCTGTGTGAGAGACTGTAACTGGCACTGCCAGTGTGTGGTTCTGTGTGAGAGACTGTAACTCGCACTGCCAGTGTGTGATTCTGTGTGAGAGACTGTAACTGGCACTGCCAGTGTGTGATTCTGTGTGAGAGACTGTAACTGGCACTGCCAGTGTGTGGTTCTGTGTGAGAGACTGTAACTGGCACTGCCAGTGTGTGGTTCTGTGTGAGAGACTGTAACTGGCACTGCCAGTGTGTGGTTCTGTGTGAGAAACTGTAAACGGCTGGAACTGCCAACCAGTGGATCTGATTGATCGATTAGACATTGATGTGAGATGGACAGTGAGAGCTTACCAACAGTGTAGTTGCCAGGCAGCTGGTGACACAAGGAGATGAACAGAACCTCAGTAGCCCAGGAGAACTGTCACAGAGGATAAGTCAGAGCTGTGATTGGCTGGAGGACAGGATGAAGAATTATACAGGACGGTACATTACATCCAGACAATAGCGTCATGAATATCACACCCTAAAACACACATACAATTTATTAATGCATTGTTGTAAGAATTGAGGGAGGCTGTGTGTAAACTGTCAGGAGGAAAGTCATCAGGTAGACAAAAGCTATTAGAGCTGTGGGAATCTGCATTAGTCAACCCAGTCAAGTAGAGTTACATGATGCCCTGTATTTGCACGCATGCCAGCCTTGTACACAGCATGAGGACAGAACCCATTTGCTCTGGTATTTATGGCTGTAGGAGAGAACTCATGTGGTGACTATATTCATGTAAAATATAATTGGTATTAAATGCCTACCCTGACATCAAAGTATGTCTGAGTTGTCTGGGTCATATGTGCCAATGACATTGTCCCGAGGGACATAACAGTCCACATCGTGGTGTCCACAGCTTCCTTTGTTACCGCTGTAGGCAAGAGAGAGGCATGCTGACCATCTGGGCATCTGTCTGCACACATCAGCCAGCAGTCGAGTGGTGACAGTGTTGTGTTCTTTTGGACCTGTCTTCATATATCTTATAGCTGCAGCACATTTCACACACACACACACACACACACACACACACAATTACAGCACAGTACATAGGAACTTGAACAGGTCAACAAACTGGGACATCATACACGATAACTTGACCTGGTCAACAAACTGAAGCATCATACACAGGGACCTAACCAGGTAAACATACTGGTGCATCCATATACAGAAACCTGACCAGGTCATCAAGCTGGGGCATGATATACAGAAACTTGATCAGGCCATCAAACTGGGACATCATAGACAGAAACTTGACCAGGTCAACAAACACACTGGTTCACTGGCATTACACAGCATGTGACAGTAATTCACTGGTATATCACATCATTAAATTAGTTATAGACACGTTAAAAGTTATGCATTTTGTATTTGTTCATTGACACAAATAAAGTATGTTAAATCTGAAAAAAAAAATTGACTGGAAACTAGACTGTCAATGCATTCTAAAACTCATCATCAACGCTAAGAAACACTCAATAAAACAACAGCACTACCATGAGCCATCATTATAACCACTGCCACCGAGGAGAGCTAGCTCTCTTGGTAGATGTTGAACATGGCTAACTCAAGATCCTGACTAACGGTAAAGGCTCCCGTAGATCAAATTCAAATTAACTGCATCAGAACAATTTCCATTTTTTTTTAGATGAAAGTGAACGCGCCCAGATCAGCTACCAGAGAGACTGGGCAATTTTCTACGTGCGCAGATAAGGGGTAATTTTTAATCAGCTTGTAGCTTCCATCACTGGTATGGGAGCATTTCGTTTGAGTCAGAGTAAGAGGACGAGGCACATGTGGTAGTCCCGAGTTCAGTGATGTTAATTCTGGATTCATTTATCCATTTGTTCATAGCAATGATGAGAACAGAATTTGGCGAAACAAATCGTTGACTGCCTCAGGGAGATAACTCTGAACTGCTGTCTTTGTTGACGAGTGTCAGGATAGTTTTGTTTGTGACTTCAGTAATCTTTCAACTTGAACTGTAAGGTTAGATACCGTTGACCCAAACTGTGGTGGTAGTAGTAGCCTGCTTGTTGAAAAAGTAAAAGAATTTATTCATTATAACCTAGTAACTAAAGCTTATAAAAATATGATCTTATAAATTATCTTTTCTTCAGCCTTCCGCGAAATGATTGATTCTTTATTAATATTATTGATATTGCGCACTGCAGCTGAGATAACACTATCTAGTTACTTTAGTCAAATTTTTAAAATGCCATCTACACCAATAAAACCAGCACAGTTAGATAGCTGTGAACAATCTCTTTCCAACGGTACCTCATTTAGGCTTGTGTGTCATTTCTGAGCTGAGATATGTAGGTTTTTGTGGAGATGAGATGTAGAAGTAGAAGCAGCTGCTAAAACTTGTGACCCAGAAACAAGAAGTTTTCTCTGCGCAACCAAACTGCGCACTTATCGTTTTGGCTTTGTTTATATTGGACTGTCTACTTGTTTTGAGTGCGGCCAAGGGAGAGAACTCCCACTGAGACGACCGAAGCCGTCCCGCTTGCGTCCAAATCTGCTAGGAGAACCGAAATTTTATATACAAATGTAAAATTGGACGGAAAATTCAATTATAACTAGCATTACCATGTCTAGTAACAGGTAAAGCCTAAAGCCAACCCTGAATACTTATCGCTATTTTCAATCAAACTAATGTAACAGAAAAACAGAGGACGTCCGGCTGTCGTAGACATGCGCTGTTAATCGGGTTCCTTCCCGCCGTTTTTAGCTTTTTATAGTGGGTGAAAATCACACCAATCGCAAAATTTCATGAGAGATTAGGACCCATCCCGAAACCCCAGCCGACATTTGCGAAGCAAGTTTCGAACGGTTTCCAGGGTAACGAAAATTGCCAAAAGACCGCAAATTGCCGAACACCGTAGTCGCTACACTATCGTCACCCTCCTCCATTCATTCATCTCTGTGATCAGTCCTCCCTTTCCAGTTACTGACTCAAAGTGTTTGCATATCTGCCTGTAAATTATCTTTTCGCCGTATTCTTGGTCTGAACTCCACACCAGGATCGTGGAGCATCTGCTGAGTGCGGGGCAAAGTGAGTGAGGACAGATCAAATCACAACAACCAATACTGATACAAACCAGCCGTAGCTACAAGACTAACTGTAATGGCTACCCAGCTACCCACATAACAAGCGTCACAGAACCTAGCTGTGTTGAGCACTGTATAACACAGAAGTACTGCTATGGTCTAACGAAACACATTGTAACACAGACTATGGGTAACTGTGGTCTTAACACAACGTAATCTAACGGTCAAACGATCACAAGTCTCTGCTGTCGCATGTCCTGGAAAACACCTCTCCTGATCTTTCACTGTCTGCTGGTTTTATTTCAGTCCTACAGTTCAATCCCTGTTCTTGCAGGACTTGGTAAGCGAACCACTCAGTCAGTCACGACTTCCTACTGTCGTCAGTTCATCTCGGTGAACTCCGAGTCAGTTCTCTGTCATATAAGTGCAGACATGAAACATTCACTACTATCATATGGTCTGTCCCCTACCCACACTAGCCTCTGACACTCTTAAGGAAGCTGCATTTATTTAGTTTCCTGGGTCAAAATATAAAAAGTGAAGGATATTTTTTACAGGGGAAAAATCACTCACACATTTCATGTTCGTTGGAACTGATAAGATTCAGAGCTTTATTTTATGTGGGTGATATACAATAAAAGGCAGTACCAGAGTTTTTTTAAGGCATAATTTGTTTCAGTGCTACTGGAAAAAAAAAGGCTAAATAGTGCTAATAGAGTGGCGAGTACAGACACCTTTTTTTAAATAGAAAAAAGTCCTGGATAGAGTTATTAATAAATTTTATACAGTAAAAACTCGTTAACATGAAATAAGGAACTGCAATTTGAGTTCATATTTTTAAAATGTTTGCTAACCATGGGCTAATAATAATAAAACAACCTTGCTGGGACCAGATTTTTCATTTATGTTCTCTGAGTGTTTTTCTTAAGTGAGTTCGTGTTAATAAAGTAATTTATTGTGGACAGAATAAGATAACAACCATTTAGGTAATGGAAATAACAGATGTTACAATGGTTTTCTTAATCACAAATCTTTGAAGGTGAAAGCTTAGATGGCTAGGAGTCTCTAAAGACATCTTCAGTAAAACTCTTTCAGTCCCAGGGGGTTTGGTATCAGAGGCCAAAGGAACATGAGGAGCATAGCGCCTGAGTAAAACGCGACAGCCACTTCAGTCCTAAAGGCATAAAGACTGATATCACAGTCGCACTGTCAATTCTTCGCAAAAGACAGCTCAGTCAATGGCATAAGCCCTATCAATTAATGATGCAAGGCGTTCTATACCGACCAAATCAGCAGGGCTGCGTGGTCTCAATGCATAGTGAAGAGAGATGTAAAATTGGTGCATCTTGCATTCATTTTGCATCTAGGTAGGAACTTATGAACATATGCTGCATTACTTGGAACTGAAAGAGTTAAGAAAAGTGCAAGGTGTGGTACTTGTTCAAAAAAAATAATAATAATGTTAATTTAACATTTAAGACAGAACAGTTGAAAAGGTGGTGCATACTGATAGTGTCATTACTAACTACTTTGTATGATATTGATGTAGAAGTTGTAAATTACTTACATGTGACCTACAGGTCATCTTGTAGTTGTAAATTACTTATGTGTGACCTACAGGTCATCTTCTAGTTGTAAATTACTTACATGTGACCTACAGGTCATCTTCTAGTTGTAAATTACTTACATGTGACCTACAGGTCATCTTCTAGTTGTAAATTACTTACATGTGACCTACAGGTCATCTTCTAGTTGTAAATTACTTACATGTGACCTACAGGTCATCTTCTAGTTGTAAGTTACTTATGTGTGACCTACAGGTTGTCTTCTAGTTGCCTAGATCTTTGTGAGAACATAAGGATGCCCCGCAAGAGTGTGGATCAGGAGAAGTATTCCACAAAATATAAGAAACTGTCACACACTGTAGCGGGAGATGGATTTGTTGATATTCAGGTAAGAATTGTAGAATTATATCATCTTCTTAAAATCAATGCCTTGTGGTGTTGGTCCTCATATGCATTTTTTCTTTAGTGTTTACCCTGAACTCTTTCTGTCCCAAAAAACACCCTATGTGTAGCTGAATGTCATTCAGATGTACCAGTCAGCATGTTGTTTTGTTATTTACATCTTATGTTTAGTGGGGGACTCTGAAGAACTCTGAAACATATTTGCTTCCTGCAAGGGTTGTATATTTGCCGCCTCTGGAAATAGTTTATCTGTGAGTTTGGTATTCTTATTCTCAACTCCCTTTAATATTAGCTAAAACCTTGTGTGACCGAAAGAGTTAAAAGGAAAACTGAATCAAGCAGAGAAGGGCAATAGATAGATAGATGACCTGAAACCTACCCTGAAAGGTCATCATATATATTCTCAGCCATCTGTGTCGTGTACTGCTAACCATATTTGATACACATGTACCTCCCTGTTCTGATACAGTCATGTCTTAAAGCCTGTCTCTTGGTTTCTTCCTCTTCAACTTCACCTTATCATTAACCCTCCTGCCCCAGAAAGCACAAAATCTTGAGCTTCCAGTTTATACCATGACCCCTAAATTTCCCTTTCCAGGCTTGTCAATAAGCGTTGCTTATATATTTTTTCCTGGGCAACTTTTTAAAATTACCAGAAACGAGCATAGTTACTAAAATAGATTTAGTTCAGGGTTTTCTGTAAAATGTTTTTTTTTTTAAATAGAAATACGGACATCTTAATTTCCCATTACTTACAGTGGTAAATGGCGGTCAGGTCATGAGGTCAAGAATGGGTCATGCTAAATATTTGGTTTGAACTCAGAGAGATGTAACCCAGTCAGCATCATTTATGTTCATTGATTAGTCCCGTTTTTTGTATGCTGTTAAATATTGGTTTGGTCCATAAGTGGAATTAATGTGATTTTTTTTTTTATTAATATGATTTTTTTTTGTAACCTGGGTAAAATGTTCTGTTAAGAATTAGCATAACAGTAATAGCACTTAGGATATTACCATAAGTGCTCCATCCCTATCATCAACAGCGAGCACAGAGTTCCAATTCTGATGGCATCAGAAACAGCCTGATTGTAAATCCGTCTTGCATTTTGATCATCGGCTAGGACCCCTCATCACTCCTTACAGCACCATTCTTCCCAGACCATGATGATCTATTTGTGCCTCTGCACTGTTCAATAGCTCCCAAAGAACCATTACAACATCAGGTCACTACCATGTGGTGCAAAACCAGCCAGTCTATCTGTCTGTTCATTTCCCAACATGCCAGCATGAGCTGGACAAAATGGGCCTCTCCAGTACAGGCCCTCTTTGATTGGCACTATGCCTTCTTCTCTCTCTCTTCCTCATCTTCCCATCTTCACACTGTCTTTGTTGGAACTGTAGTTGGTATCAAGCACAGAGCATGAACTCAATATATCAGGCAATGATTTTTAAAAATTTTTTAATCCTTCTCTGACATGAGGGAGCCAACCTCCTGCCATCTCTCCTTAGGTGCCTCGTACGACATTCATGGCAGGTTATGCTGTTCTTTGCTTCCGTTAGGGGCCCTCTTAACACATGGTTAAATAAAACTGATAATGAAATACAAGCATATCAGCTTGCTTCTGTTATCACTTGTATTTTTGTTGATTTGTATCTGTTCTGTTTAGTTAATGCAAGCATGGTATTTATTTTTTAATCTGTGATGTTGTGTGCAATAACACCCACATTTTTATGATTCTTCGGTCATTTGAAAAAAAAAATGTTGATGTTGCATTAAGAATCGACACCATAGACTCAGGACACTCCCATAAGTGCTCCGTCCCCATCTTCAGCAGCAAACAAAGAGTTCCAATTCTAATGGCACCAGTAACTGCCTGATTGTATATCCGTCTCGCCTTTTCCTTGGGTCTTGAGCATCGGCCAGATCCCCTTGTAACTCCTCACAGTACCATTCTCCTCAGACCATAATGTTTGCGCTTCCTCACTGTTCACTCGCTCCCAGAGGGTCCTCACAGCCTCTAGCTTGTCGTACATTAGTTCACCATTAAGTTGTGCCGAATCAGCCAGTATGTCTGCCTGCTCATTTCCCAACACACCAGCATGACCTGGAGAGAATATCCAAGGGATGCTAACCACCCGGGACTTCTGAAGTGATGCTTGCCACTCTGCACAGAGCATACCTGTCTCCACCTTTCTCAGCATGCTCTGTGAGTCAGTTACAATCACGGCCTGTGTGTACAATCATTACATACATTTTCAAGCCAGCAGAATGCAGCAGTGACTGTCTCCACCTCCATTCTCAAACTAGACATTGTGATATCATATGCCAGGCTTTGTTGCACCAAGCGATGTCCATTCGCTTTTGCTATGAACCTCCATGCACTTTGTCTGTCCCTCAACACAGAGTCATCTGTATAGATAATCACATTACTTATTGTTGTGAATCATTTGTTGAACTTCTGATTCTGCAGCACCAGCTGGCCAGTCCCTGCACTCACAACCCAAAGTGATAAGAACCCTACATAAGTCTGAAACTTGCTGGGACACTTTGACCCACTCCTCGCCTAGCACAAATTTATGAAGCTTGCACACATGTCTGATTGTTCCTTCAGCTTGCGCCATCCAAGACCTTCCTCTTTTCGGTCTGTGACCCTAAGCTCTACCCAGGGCTTCATACAGGAGGTGTTTCTTGTCTGCAGCTACTCTGAGATATGACTTTGCTTGCAGAACTTTGAGCCTATCTACAATAGACGGCAGTGCAAGCATGCATCGCATACATACTACCAGGGTATCTCTTGTACATCCCAGAATTACCCGCATGGCTTCATTCTGCATATGTTCAAGTTTAACATTTGGGAAACAAAATATTTTTTTGACATTCTTGTGTTTGTATTGAAATGACAACTCAGTTTGGCAGATAACTAGTGTTTTTTTTTTTTTCTGCAGAAGCATGCTAATTCATTGTTTGCTAGAGCAGCATGCTAATTTCCTTGTTTGCTATAAAAACAGTCTAATTTCATTGTCTGATCCATCTTCCAGTTTGAAAAACCTCCACAAAAGATACCTTACAAGGCCATACTTCTGGCTACAACCTTGTTTGTTATTGGCAGCATTCTGATCATTATTGGAGCTCTTTTGTTTACTGGTTATATTTCAGTACAAGTAAGTATTATTTTACTATTGTTTGATTATTTCATTAGCAGATGTTTGTGACAATCATAACCACCAACAGAATACTAAGTCTTTCTGCCCCAGACATGTTCCTTTAACTCCAATCGCCTAGCCAGCTGTTACTTAGAATTATAGTAGTAGCCTCCCCTTGTCATATCTGGGGATTTCTGTGAACAGAAATCCTCCAGCCACATATCCTGGTATTCAGTTTGAAGGTTTCTTTTCTCCTTAAATTTTCCTTCATAGTGTTATTCCCTTATTTCTTTTTTTTCTTTCCTCATGATTTGCTGGAATTTTGTGGGTCTATCCATGAGCTTTCTGTTTGCTGTTCTGTCAGACCATTTAATATTTGTTGTGTTGTGCAAATCCACCAGGTAATTAAATGTTGTTGTTAGCACCTTTCCCTCTTTCCAGATGATATTGTTATATTGTGCTACGAGGCATGGGAATCACAGCCCATGGCTGTGGCAAGTGTGACTGGTAAGACCCGCTCACATTAAGAAAAGTCTTCCACAGTTAGAGCATGGGACCTCAGGACCATTTTTGCCATTGCATGTAATTGATTCATGTAATGGTGAAGGATAGAACGACTTGGCATGAGTTAGTTGAGGGTCTATGCTCCATTGGGGGATAGAAAGGCAGAAGAAGAAGAAAATGTAATTGGTTCACTTCTTCTGAGATGATTAGCTCCTATCATTTCTGCAATAATTTTCTCCTGTATTCCTGTTCCCTTCGTGATTGCCCCCTCCAGGTAACATGGACAGCAAGCATCTTTTTCCCCTGTGATCTCAGGATGGTTTGTGTCCCACTTGCACACTTCTTTGTACTGTAGACCTCAGCATCGTCTATCCGTTTATTATTCACCTTAGAAGACATCATTATTGACACCATCTTCCATCCTCCAAATGTAACCTAGCCATCTGTGTCTTAGGATACTGAGCAGTAAGAAAACCAGTTGCAACAGTTAATGAATATTTGTAGTTTATTAGTAACTGTTTTAGTTATTCTCCTTTTTCATAAAATGATATAAAGTAGACAGACAGACCAGCCACTGCAGTACTTGGCTTCAAGTTAGCTGACTCGTCCTGTAAACAATGTTCTAACCAGAAAAGCCAACAAAAACAAAAAAAAAAAGCCAACAACTAGGGAAAGATCTCAAATGTAAACAAGGAATAATGAGCCAACCTGGCTTGGTGGAAGGTTTTTTTGCTAGAAAAATTAGGGGTCTACGAAGAAAGCTAAGAATAGTTTGATCAATATTGTGTGGGCTATACCTGATGGCAGGACAGGATGACTTGGTGGGAATTGGTTTTGAGGGCCTATTCTGTCATTAGTTTTTAGTCACTAGTTGAAAATCCAACTTTACTACAGGCAGGTGACCCCATAACTACTGCATTTTTTGTGTCAGTAGAAATAACACAATATTTCCTTCACTCTCTAATTTGAAAAACTGGTGAAAGACACAAACCTTTTCCAGCAGAATCGTGCAGCTTGCACACTCAAGCCAACGATGTGGCTGTTGTTGACAGTGAAAGAGCTGATAGACTGGCTGGCCTGCTATGCTTTAACTGCAAATGGCCTTCTTATAGATTATTATGACATTATTAACCTTTTTGCCCCGTACCATTTTCAGAATATCAATTCTTGGTCCCGTCACCATTTTTCAATTAAAATTTGTCCATGGCTCCCTAAACTAATTAAAAGTATGACTGTTCGTGTCTTGGTTAAATTAATTGTGAAGCTTTTACAATATTTCGCAGTGCCCCTGTGGAGAGATTGCTCCCCGGGTCACTGCTGCGCACAGTTTGGAAATGATTGCCCTAGACCATTGAGCAAACAGACAGTGATGAAGTCTACAGCTTCATTACGACTGTCACATCTCAAAAATTATTCATTAACATTTTTTCTTTAAATTCACTTTTTAATGCTTACAATTTGTTTTTGTTTTGAAGTCACGCAGTTAAACACTAAATACAAGTGGAGCAATGATTCAACTGCTTTCCTTCTTTTAGTCTTAGTTGAGGTTTTGTCTTCACTGCAGTCGGGTCACCCCGTGCATGCTCCATTACTGTTCCAGTGACAGTCAGATGAAATGTCCTTCATTGTCCCACTTGAAAAACTAGGGAACAACCAATTAGTCCTGGCATAATCCATAAATATCTGCATGTAGCAAATGCATAAGACAGTTGCTAGAGGTGCCAAAGCCAACAGTCACCATAAGAAATGGCATTTATCTTTGATGGAAGTAGTTGGCTATACAAACATAAAATTATTACATAGTAGGTATTTCACCAGCCCACATGTAAACGGCTACCGGCCATATTGAATACCTTGAATCAGCGGCTGCATAAATGTAAGGCATTCCACATAAAAATACAGCTCACAGTGCTGGACCAAGCACTTATCTCAGTAGCTTAGGCCGCAAAACTATAGACTTCCATCAATATGTGGAAGCTGTAATAGCAAAATGCTGTTAGAAGCAAAAATAACTACAAAGCTAAACATTATGCCATGCACAGTCCTTCATTTTGGGCCAGAAGTCCTTCTCTTTAACCATAAAACAAGTGGTTTTGTTGACTTAGCCACTTGAAGAAAAGTGAGATTATTATGATGCAACAATAACATAGGAGATTTGACAATTTATGTATTTCTCTACATTAAATAATATCTCACAATGTTATTTGGGGAGTACACTACACAGTAACAGCAGCCAGTACCAAAGCTGTTATATAGGCATCATAGCTGCCCAAAGACTTCATGTCATCAAAATCTGATAAATGCCATTAAAAACAGCTTTCTGTGGGCGACCAGGTTAATGTCATTAGAGAGACACGGCAATCTGAATCACTGCAAAGAATGCTAGAACTGGCAATAACGATCAGTACAGCCAAGCACGAGAAACACACCAGATGTACGAGAAGTCTTGTCAACTAGCATAGGACTGGCGCTGTTAAACGTGGTTTGCTGATGTATATGTTGAGCACCTGTGGGTGTGTCCAGAGTGCTGGGAAGATAACCCAACTCATAAACATGTGTTATAAGTGAACGCATAACGCAACCATCAGGTGTCCCAACACTAAAAGTCTCCAAGCCAGCAGTCAGTAACAAAAGCCAGCATTACATACTCAGTACTGCCTAAGGCACTCAGTTTGAGAGCCTACTCTACATAAGGGAATAAAGGGCAAAGCAAAGATAACAAAATAATAACAAACCAACATGAATGTTTATTTGAAAAGAAGATAAAATTGAAGCAAGCAAACAGTTTTTTTTTAAAGAAACGCCCATTTGTTGTTGTCATTTCTTTATTGTATTTTTCAGTATTCTGACCGCACTTGGCCAATGCTGTTGCTGGGAGCTTTAATGTTCATCCCCGGTGCCTATCACACCCGAATTGCATACTACGCCTACAAAGGCTATGAGGGATTCTCTTTCGAAGACATACCAGAGTTTGACTGATTTTAATTACACACTTTATTTATTAAGTAATTTTGTTTGATAAAAATGCATTTAATTGACTTTGTATATAGCAGAGGCCATGTAAATTAATAGTAAAGAAAACTTGTCGTTCAGAATACAGGATCAAAGTAAATTCGACTAGTATGAAGCAAGTCAATGTGTGAAATTACTTGGGTTACCTGAATACAGCTAATGAAAGATGTATTATAAATAAACTGAATATAGCTCAAGTGAAAGACAAATTTCTTGGATTGAAAAATATTCTATGCCATCCGCCTTTGTCGGGCTGAGACAGATGGTTTATTAAGAGCGATATAGGTGCTATCCTGGTTTATACAAATGAATCATGGACAGGCTAGTAAGAATTAACGTGGAAGCTGCAGAAATGTGGTTTGTAGAAGAATGATAACATATTTTACAGATAAAAACATAATGGAGATGCATTAGAAGAAATTACCCCATGAGGATCTTCCACAACCTTGGTCTGAGTAAAATAATTCTGGTTGTACTGGATGATTGAACCTGGACCAATATCTTAGCAAGCCATTACACTTCTCACTATGCCACTACAGTTCTTGTATTTGCACATTTACATTCCTTTAAATTGTTGGATACAAAATATTAAATTGTTGGATAACATAGATTCCTTGATGTATTTTGACATCTTTAAGATGACTCTTATCATTTATAAATAACTAACGGTGATATTTTTGCTGTGGTGTAGTGGCTAGACACTTGCCTGCCGATCGGGAGGACATCGGTTCTAGGGCTGACTTTTCTAAAAGAAAAATGACCTTGGCTCCCAGGCGAACCAGCCTTAAGTGGGTACCAGGTGCAGTCCTGGGAAGTAAAGGTGGTCAGGATGATGCTAACCACAGCATCCACCAAGTGCCGATTGGTCTGTAAAATATAGGTCTAGCCCTATATGCCCAATACACCTGAAGGTTTGGAAAGGGGTCCTTTACTTATGATGTTTGTGTGATATTTCTGGTATGATTGATGCCATTCTGTACCCATTTTTCATTCTGTGTCAGTAAGCTTTTTGCCAATCATTCTGATCAGGATACAAGTTGCTTTCAACTTTTCTTAGTGTATGTACATGTGTATATTGCCATTTCATTGTTGTATAAGAAAACATTTTCCAATTTGCATATTTTGCTCGCTCCTCAGTTTATACCATTTCTTCATATGATGCACATATACCTTGTAATTTTCTCCATGTATGTGTGTATTATAATAAACAGGTGTAAATGCATTGCTTCAGCACCTGTTGAATTTATAGTTTGTTTTACAGAATGTTGTTGTGACATTATGTGTTTTAACATTATCCTGTAGCTTGTCCGTACAGATCTTTGCCTGTATAACACAAGCTTTAAAAAGTTGTCTCTGTAAGCTAGATGGTCTAATTCTGTTGCTGTCATGTTTTACTCTGTTGCTGTCGTTTGTGCTGTCTTGCTGTCGTGTGTAAAAGCTCTCTGTGAGCTGGATGTTCTGCTCTGTTGATGACATGTGTACTCTCTCGCTGTCATTTTTGTCTCTTGCTGTCATGTGTATTCTGTATTCAATCAACTTCTTCTGGGTATGTTAAGCATGGAGTCTCTAAGATGGCTGCTGCATCAGAGGACGGAGCTCAGATGGGCCAGACTGATGTGCTAGGATGTCAATACAGGTAACAAGTATCAAGATCATGTAGAAAGATTCTCAGAATAACATGGACTGAGAAGAAAAGAAATACCAACATCCTAACTGATCTGAACTTCGAGGAAGATTGGCTAGAAACCACATCTTTTCTTGGAAACTTAAATATTTTGACATATCAAGTGTCACAGGAGATTATAAAGTAGGAGCAGAAGGCATAGTGCCAGCAAAGAGGGGCTGGAGCTGACCAGCACGAAGATTGGCACAGGATATGACACTTTGGGTAGGAAACTGCACGAGGTTTGAAAGCTGGCCTAGAGATTGAGTTTCTTTCATGCAGACCATGATGAGAGCGATGTTCTTACGTGAACCAATAAAAGGCACTGGGCTAAGAGAAAGCACATTATAACATGACTGTTTGATCTGAAGAATCATAATCAGAGTATTTCCAGCTGCAGTCGATGTGGCAGTAACTTTTCACTGATTTGGCAACAGTAGGTAGTGCTGACCATTCAGAAGGTAATAGCAAACTACTGAACGTAAAATTGGCTAGTAAAATCACAAACAGCCAACAGATACAGGGGTTTGGTTCTGTAAAGGATACACAAGTAACTTATATCATAGTATGTTACAATCAATATTAATGTAATGTATTTTCTTACCTACCGCAATAAGCTAAATATATACTGGTTTTTTTTGTTATGTCCTGAAGATGAAATGTAACTAACTATTTTTTTCTTAATGCTTAACTGGACTCACAAAAAGTACAGAAGTATATACAGACATGGGTAACATCCAACGGAAGATGTTTTACCGAGATAAAGAACAGGACAGGCCAAAACTGTATTTTATCAAATGAAGAACATTTGTGCAATAAATCCATGTTACTGGAGGTTAGGAAGTTATCACATGCTATAAAGAGCCACTTTTAACAAATGGCTGTGAATCCTGGACGGTTAATAAACAGGCCCAATAATTTCTTGAGATGTGGTGTTTACAGAAAAATCCTTAGATGTTGATGTTGGGAATGAAGCGAGAGTTCGAACACAGCTTATCACAATCATCAGAAAGAGACAATCATCATTTTTGGTCATGTTATGAGAAGAGGGAAACTGAAAAGGTCTGGGGAAAGACAGACATAGGAAGACTGCTCGAGAAGATTTTTGACAGCCTTCTGTCATGGCATAGAGGAGTGTCAACACACGAAATGATACATGCAGCTGCAGACTGTGGAGAGGCATGATCGCTCACACCAATTGGCAAGACACTTGATGATGATGGACACAAAAGGTGTAATGTCCATAGCATTATAATTGATCTGCACATCTTAACTTAATTGTTTTAATTTGAGGAATAGTCATCATAATATGTGACAAACAGTGTTGTTTTAGTGACAAAAGGTACACTATCGATATGATCTGTAATGGATAGTTACATCATAATTTGGTAGCATAGTGGCTAGATCGGATGTAGTTTTACAGAAGCATACTTAGAATTCCTTGGATAGCCAAAAAGAGCAACCCATATGTTTTGAAAAAGGTGAGGGCTCGAAGACAACTTATCACAAACATCAGAAAGAGACAGTCATCATTTTTTTGGTCATGTTATGAGAAGACAGAAAGTGGAACATGTTGTGACCACTGAAAATATTTATGGAAAGAGAGACAGAGAGAGACAACAGGAACAGATTCTTGACAGCCTTGTGTCATAGCATCAAGGGGTATCAACACACAAACTGATACACTCAGTTGCAGATTGTGGAGAGGTATGATTGCCCAAGCCACTCGGTAAGGCACTTTATGATGATGTTGAGTGGCTAGATGCTCACTTGCCAGTCCAAAGATCTTGGGATCAAATCCACAGCTGATGACCTTGGCTCCCAGACCGACCCACCAAGCAATATCCTGGGAATTAAGGGCAGCAAGCATGATACAGACAATGCTAGTGTATAAAAATGTGACACTAGCACCATATACCTGATGCAGCCCTGACCTGAAAAGGGTCCGTCATTTACCGACATCATATCATGATTGTCTGAACTAGAGATCATCATGAGTACCTCAGGCATACCTATGGACACTAACAAGTAAGTAAATTTTACCCCACCAGAACATCACACAGAGCGATAAACACCCGGTGACACAAAGTGCCACCATGTGGATGAGGATCACCTGTGGAAAGGTCCCTGAAACCCCGTTCAACAGTTAGAACATATTTATGGTCCAACTATATTTAGGGTAGCCTCGCAAAAGCCAAGGTGAGGCTTCAAAATAAAAAAAATTGCATACCACAAGGGGACGACTTGGATAGACAACATATACACTAATAAGACAATGGGAACAGCTGACTGAGTGAAACAATTGGTTTAAATAAACGTCTTCATGAGAAGTGATGGTTTTTATTTAAAAAAATTTAGATGTTTTGTTACATTTGTGGAGCAGATGGTCGCTGTAAGTAAAGGGGCCTTTTTCATGCCAAATGTGCTTGTGATATATGATGCTTGATTCATATTTTTTAGACCAATCAGCACTTGATCAGTGATGTCAACATAGTCAAATTTTTTAGACCAATCAGCACTTGATGAGTGATGTCAACATAGTCATATTTTTTAGACCAATCAGCACTTGATGAGTGATGTCAACATTGTCATATTTTTTAGACCAATCAGCACTTGATCAGTGATGTCCACATTGTCATATTTTTTAGACCAATCAGCACTTGATCAGTGATGTCCACATTGTCATATTTTTTAGATCAATCAGCACTAGATGAGTGATGTCAACATTGTCATATTTTTTAGATCAATCAGCACTAGATGAGTGATGTCAACATTGTCATATTTTTTAGACCAATCAGCACTTGATGAGTGATGTCAACATTGTCATATTTTTTAGACCAATCAGCACTTGATGAGTGATGTCAACATTGTCATATTTTTTAGACCAATCAGCACTTGATGAGTGATGTCAACATTGTCATATTTTTTAGACCAATCAGCACTTGATGAGTGATGTCAACATTGTCATATTTTTTAGACCAATCAGCACTTGATGAGTGATGTCAACATTGTCATATTTTTTAGACCAATCAGCACTTGATCAGTGATGTCCACATTGTCATATTTTTTAGACCATTTAGTATGTAGTCAGTACTATACTGGCTGCCTTTTTTTCCTTGGATATATTCTGGTAACTATTTTTCCTGGGTTAAATTGGGAGCAATGGTACATGTGTTTTTATTTTTTTAATCTGTCTTTATAGAGACTGGAAAGTAATGGTTACATTATTTTGTATATTCACTTCAATATCACAGTTCACAAATATGATATGATTTATCACACAATCTCAAACATCACATCATATGACTTTTAATTAGTGACAAGGCAAATTATTTGTATTAATTGGCTTTTACGTAAAAATTACTATTTACCATTAAATTGATTGATCAAAACATTCAAGATTTATACAGAAATATCTCTACTACAACGGTTTTAGATATTATACAAGCACAGCTGATTCCCGTCCCCATATGGGACACAACTTTTTCATAGTTTTAAAGCACCATCCTGGCTGTAGCTGGGAGCCCTTATATAATCTAACAGTTTAATGGATTTTCTTGGTCTTGTGCCCAGGTGATTTTCATCTGAATGTGGCACTTTGTGTCACCACCGGGTGTTAGTCACTCGTTCTACGGTCCTGGTGGCGTTGAATGACATCACACAAGCACATCATGGATCTGTGAGTCAACTAAGTGATCCTTTATATGTCAGTGACACACAAGGTATATGATGCTAGCCTCATGTTTGTATAGACATTTGGCATGTTGAAGGTGGGAGGTGGGGGGGGTAGGGGGGGGGGTATGTAAACATCACAGTTGTTACCGTTAGGCTTCCTATGACATTTTTGTTCTTCTGCATTAATCCCCCAATGAAGCATACACCATCAACCAACTCACACCAAGTCATCATATTACATGCAGCTCACCACTTGTACTCCCCTCCATTTTAACTTCAATTTCTAGCTCCCTACCCCATGTATTTTGTGTGAGTGTGTGTGTTTGTGTCTTTATTGGTCTGTCTTTATTTCTAACCCAGCACATTACTTGGTACCCAATTGGGGGCCAGGCTGACCCGTGAGTCAATGTCAATTTTGAATAGACAAAATATGCCACAGTGTGGATTTGAAATCAAGGTCTGTAAGCTGGTAGGTGAGCATTTAGCCACTATATTACTGCAGTTCCCACAGCATGAAACTTATGTCTACAGTTTACTGGTGACCTGCTCCATTAATTGCACAAATGCAAGCTCATCTGGCATATCCCACAGATATTTCAAAACTGGCCAAACTCTTTCTGCATGTGTAAGAGTGTATTCATTCCCAGGGTCACTGGTTATTGAAAAATAGCCAAGGACTAAAGATTGTGCAAACCTGGCGCACACACATAATTTCAAATGTTTGATCTCAAAATCAGTTAAACTGATATGCTGCAGGTATCCTGACAGAAAAAAACTGGCTGCCTCCATCGCTGGAACCCCATGCTTATTAAGCATTATATAGACAATTGCAATTGCAACTTCAAATATGTAGAGAGAAAACGTTGTGTCACCAAAGTCGATGATACCACTGACATGCCATGGTTTAGTGTCCAAAGAGTGAGCATTGTCGCTAGTTAATATCCTGCACTTAAACTTTGCAGCAACATTTTTCTGCATTTGGTCAAGACAGAAGTTCTGTTCGGTGGCACCAACATCATTGTTGTCTACTGAAGTTGTGTGTTCTAGTTCTCTGCAAACCTCACTTGGTTTAACTGGCACACTTGAAAAATTCTGGCTGACCAAGATGTTGCATTCATTGAAATCGCTATGAATGAGACCTGGAATATAGATAATATATAAATAAAAAATTTAAATGACTGATTTATTCAAAAATGCCTTTTAAAAACAGTGAAACCAATATTATGGTGTTTTGAGTCAGAAATAACATCGAATCAGATTTAAAAAAAAATGTTATTTGTCCATAGGTTAAGCCTAAAATGGGTACCAGGGGTGAAGTCCTGGGAAGTAAAGGTTTGACACTATCACCCATCATACAAAAATTATGTCAGTACAAATCTGTGCCTTCAGTCCCCCCCCCCCCCCCCCACCCCCCTCCTTCCATAATTATAGTAACCTTTTTTTATAACTGACTTTCAAACATCTTTCCAGCATATACAATTAATTCGAGTATTCCTTAATTACTGTATTCTGTCATGCCAGAGTTCATCTTATCTTAAAATAACAACAGTTACATAACCCATTGAGTGTTGATTGGTCTATCAAAATATGAGTGTGGCAACATATACTTGACACACCACTGGTGTTGTAAAAATGTACCTACTCCTACTTTACTGTCAACTCCAGTTGTTTGCCTCCTGTGAAACCAACTCATGCTTGTTATCTAAACTAAAAACAGGTGACAAAAATTGTGACAGATGTCAGTACATGATGCAAGGTGCAAGAGAATGAGGCTTGGGAAGAGACATGATCATTTGTGACAGTTGGGAGAAACTTGGTCATGATGATGATTTTGGCAGCTAATTCCTAAGCATAGGTACAATTATTTGTTCAAAGCAATGTGTGAACAGACCTTTAGAAAACTTGTCTTGAGCAGATAAGACTGATGTCTCAAACTTATCAATTATTTCTCCAATGATCCTTCGTTGTTCTGGACATCTTACAATGTGCAGTTTACCTCTCAGTTCAGGTATATGGGACATATTCCAGCCACGTGACATTGAAGCTATCACAGAATTTTCTGCTTTTGAAAAATCCTAAAAAAATTAAAATAATTGTTAACACAGATGTACACATGCATATGCATTAATACTTACATGTATATGCTATAATATGCAAATAAAATGAATGATCAGATATTGATTGGCACATTAACGGTAGTTAAATTCCCTGGTAGAATTGTGGATAGACATAAAATGTTTGTCCTAAGGTATTCAGTTTGAATCTGTATCAAGGTATATTTTGTTATAACTGGTCTCGAGCTCCCAGGTTGATCCAGGCTAAAATTGATATTAGGAAATGTCATGGGAAGTAAAGTTGGTTGGCATGATGTTGACCGTAACTCTCAGTGAGCTCTAACTGGTCAATAAATCATGGGTTTGGCACCATATACCTGATGTGCCAAAGGAAGAAGGGTCTCTTACCTTACAAGTAAAAGGTAAAGGACCCTTTTCCACGCCTGCATGCAAATTGGGCACCTAAGGCTAGACCTCTATTTTACAGACCAATCAGCACTTGGTTGGTGATGTGGTCAACATCACACGGCCGCCTTTACTTCCCTTGTACCCGTTTGAGGCTGCGTTGACCTGGAAGCCAAAATCATTTTTAAAAAGAGTCCAGCTTCATCAGAACCTGACCCCACGACCTTCTGATCTGTCTAGTCACTATAGTACAGCAGCTCCTATAGATACAAGAAGTGGTGAATAAAAGAAGGGAAGTTGTGTGTTTGTGTGTGAGGGTTCACCATCTGTAAACCCCAACAGAAAGTCCTGCTTGCTTGTCCATTTCTAGACCCGAGTTTCACATGTGCATCCATTTGACAGATCTGGCCTAATTGCATGCACACTGTTGGTTCCTTACATCTCGGACAAATGAACTCTGACTTTGAAGGAAATCCCCTCATTATTCGACTGCTTGTTAGGGAGACAGTGGGTCTATTGTCTACCCCCTTCGCCATGCTCCATCACCTCCCTTAATGGTACCCTGGAACCCAGATGGAGGGGGAGGGATTTGAGGGCACACTAGACAATACAAGTCTGAAGTTGTTGTGATTGGTGACCATATCAGGATTTGAACCTGCCACCTTCAGATTATTGCCTCATCTTGCTGTAGAAACAAGTTAACTTAAATGTAAATCTTTATAGAAAGTAACCACAAGGCAAACATATTTACGGAAACAGGAATCTATCTTGAACCATAAGATATGTGGGTAAATTTTATCTCACCAGGACATCACATAGAGTGATTAACACCCGGTGACACAAAGTGCCACCATGCAGATGAGGATCACCCACAGAAAGGTCCTGGAAACAGCATTTAAACAGTTGGGTTATAATGCGCGCCCCTTACAACAGCCATGGTGGGGCTTCAAAATAATGAAAAATTGCATCGAACAAGGGGGATGACAACACATTAAAAACTGAAGTTAAATATAATAGTATGAACTGATAAATTAAATTGTACAATCGTAAGGAAACATAGTTCAGGACTTGTTTTACTATAAACGAATACTATGAAACCAAATGATGTTCTGAAAATATGGAACAGTGAAAATAATAAATAATAAAATTGGTTGTGTGAAAAATTTCAAAAGTTGAATATCACCTGTAAAACAGAATCTAGCTTTCCAGCCAACCAGCCAACTTCATAACAGAGCTGATGGCTCAAAGCTACCTGGTCTAGGGTTTCATCTGGCATGAAAACAAAAAGACGAACAACGTATTTCTCCATCTCGGCATCTGTAAAGAAAACATGGAAGTCAATATGACTTAAACTAAAAATCACTGCCAGAGTAACAAAGCTGATATAAAGTTTTAATTATATTCAATAGCTGACTAATTCTGCAGTCCAAATTCTGCGTGGTCGATCTCTGGATCTGTTAGCCTTGTATCAGTATAACATTGCTCTGTCGGATGGCAATCTTGTTACATGGCCAAACCATTTGATTTGTTGTCAACCTATAAATTTCAGTATTTGTTCTGTGCTGACTCTCCTCCTGATATCATCGTTCCAAAGTCAATCTTTCCTTATTACACCTAGCATAGTATGTAAACATTTCATTTCCATCATGACTATTTTCCTTCTGTCTTCTGAACACAGTGTCCATGTTGGACACTCATAGCATACCATTGGTAAGAATAGTCAATAGTCGACTTAAAAAAGACTAAATTGTCTAATTTTTTCTCTTCTGTGACGGGGTACAAAAGACACAGAACAAAAGTTGAAGGCATTCAAAAACAGATGCCTAAGGAAATTGATGAACATAGTCACTAAAAAGGCACTCAAATGAGGAACAAATGGACTGAGGAACGAGGACGTCCAAGAAAACCCTGAAGAGCAACACTGTTGAAAGAAGACAATGGTGCTGGCTGAGCTAGATTCCATCCTGGATATTGACAAATTGCACAGGATAGCATAGAATGTAGGACTAGACTGCAAGCCCAGTGAAGCATATAATGGTACAACAGGATGATGATGATGATAAGTATACAGGCAAGCAGTACCATGACAGGGATGGACATCTGCAAAACTTTTTTTTTAAACTGAAAAGCCAAGCTCCTAGAGTAATTAGTTTTTCACATCCGAGCAGTGTGTACTGATGGGAAGGTACACTGAGTTTAAAAATTTATAAAATCTTACCTTCAAATCCTGATTTGGGCAGGCTCAGCAGTAACTGATAATTACCATTTGTTGTTGGAATAACATCCGGTGTAGGAATGTCAGCTCTTTTAGCATGCAAGATGACTTCAGTCTGGATTTCTGTTTAATTATAAATATATATATGTGTTTCTGCATGTGTATACTCACATATATAGATACATACACTGAGAGGGAGAGAGAGAAAGAGCACCACAAAGATTATATTTAGCTTTATCACATGTTACGCCTATATCTGGTTGTCTTCCACTTTCCATTGCCATTTTGTCAGCCTCCTCATTTCTGGGCATGTTGTAATTGGATGACATCCATTGTTTTAGTCTTTCTGAATTTAAGACACAGTACATAGAGTGATGCCCTGAGGTCTGCTAGTTCTTTATTTATTATTTATTTTGCTTTTCACTGCTGATACAACTGAATTTGAATCTGTAAAGGTAGTTTTTCAGGCTGAATTTGCATCTGTAAAAGTAGTTTTTCAGTACTATAGGAATACTGACTTTCTCATTACATTTTCCTGCCTTGATGTAGAACATACATGTGTGTAAGTATATATGTGTGCATACGTGCTGTTCCCCCCCCCTCCTCACAAACCCCGTTTCTCTCAAGCTGCTATTTGAGGGTTTGACACCCAGAGGTCATCCACCTTCCTTAATCCCGCCCCCCCCCCTCCCACGAACCCCGTTTCTCTCAAGCTGCTATCTGAAGGTTTGACACCCAGAGGTCATCCACCTTCTTTAATCCCACCCCCCCCCCACCCCCACGAACCCCGTTTCTCTCAAGCTGCTATCTGAAGGTTTGACACCCAGAGGTCATCCACCTTCCTTAAACCCCCCCCCCCCCCCCCACGAACCCCGTTTCTCTCAAGCTGCTATCTGAAGGTTTGACACCCAGAGGTCATCCACCTTCCTTAATCTCCCCCGCCCCCCCCCCCCAATTTTTTTTTTTAAATGTAGGCGTCCAGGAGACAATAGGAAACTGTGACTGAAGATGTAACTGATAGGGATTTTTTTTTTTTTTTAAAGTCAGCACGTGGTTACTCAAATTTGTTTATAAACACCAAAGAGCCAGCAGCTTAGAAAACGGTAATGCTCATAAGGTATTCGTTGATAGTAATTATAATAAACAACGTGTTTCGTTTCTTCATGGATTATATTTGAAACTGTTTCCTTCATAACTTTTATATCAAAATAATTTTGCAAAACGAAATCGTGAAAGTAAATTTAAATTTCAACCACGCATACAATTTGCAGGGCGGCAACATTCTCCTTGGATGGCGTTTACGTAACAACAAAACATGAACTTTCAGCAACCTAAGTAGGAAATGTCCGAATCATACTTACAGTCATGACACGTTAAAATGTTATAAATATTACCTGCAACTGCTGGCTTTCTCGAGTCGAACGCGTTGAGAATTTTCAAGACATAGCGATGTGAACTTGCAAATTGACTATCTGAAGGCAGAGACGAGCCTGGCACTTCTTCGACGAGAAAGTTTTGGTCATCATAACTTTTCAACTCTTGTACAACAATTACTGAAAGACCATATACTTTCTGGACGAGCATAGGAACACTGCTAGCGCTGAGATTTGGTTTGTAGTTGCCACCCATCTGTGCATTTGAAACAACATCACTGGGTAACTTTAAAACTGGAACAATAAAGAATATACCCGCTTTCCATAGCACATTACAACAAACAAAGAACGTTGTGTCGACAAGTCTTTATCATCAGATAGTGACAAGAAACAAAACACAACACACGCGCGCGCACACACACAAACACACACAGAATGAAGAGAAAATAAAATAACATTGAAATAGCTACTTTAAGGTGTTCAACTATTATATGGGGGAAAAAAATACATAAAATAGAGGTAAAAGACAGAAAGAAATAAAATACACTTTGCCTGGATCGCTCCGAATGTTACAGAGGTATCCGATATCGCTCTATATAGGTAGGTCAGATAACCGAGAGGCACACTGCTAATGAGTCGCGTCCAAGTGTCGGCACAAAGTTGAAATCCCAGTACTGAGGGCTAGAAATGTAAGAGAGTAGTTCCCAGCTGTGGGGTGAAGAAGAAAGGGAGAAAGAGGTCAGAGAGAGGAACTGGACTAATTCTGTCGGTACAAAATCGGTTCCTTCAGTTCTGACAGTTAAAGTCTAGGCCCAGAATGTATGCACGAATCTGTTATACATACGTGTATAGGTATTTGCATGAGTGTGTTTATTATGTGTATCTATGATTGTGTGTGTATGTGTGAATATATATATATGTGTGTGTGTGTGTGTGTGTGCTTATGAGTGTATGGATATGTGTGCGTATGTGTATATGCTTGTGTGAGTGTGCGTGTGTATGATAGTTGAGGCATGGGTATGTATAAATGTGTGTATATATACATTTGTGTGTACGTACGTGTCACGTCCGGCTGCACATTCAGTCCTGACAACTGAATCACGGTACATTTTGGAGGAGTCCCCCTCGAAAATGGGTTACTGGGAGCGTTTCCATGTTGCATTGTGTGACATATTAATATGCTTACAAAGTCCTGTGTTCTAAACGTATTCGTATTACAAATCTACAAATTGATATTGTGAAGTGGATATACAGCAATTTTAATTTTAATTCACAGAAGACAGTCGTGTTGTGATGTGTGTGTCAGTGTCACTGTTTCTAGTCAGTAGTATGGATTTTTTGGAAACTGGCTGTTTATTAATTTTCTACTTTAAATGTAGAAATCTTACTTTTAGGGATAATACAAACAGGTAATTTAGAAGCCATATCTGGAGAATATCGACAGTTGTCAGGTGCAAACTATCTTGTGTTTAAAGAAAACTATTGCTTTCATATTGACTGTGCATAAATAGTGCAACCACACTGTGAATAAATTGTGTCAAGATATTTCGGAGCTCTAGGTAAGTGGATGAAAATAATATTTAATTTACTAACTAACCTCTCACAGCAAGTCACTCTTTGCCTCTTTGCTAATTGTTGACTAACAGTATAATTATATGTTGTAGCAGTACACTAATAATATTAATCCTTAACCATTTGACTTATGCTTCGCAGACACTGGCTGTAAACTCTTGCTGAAACTTCTGGTTGCTCATCGACTTCTTTTGCATATTTGCAGTTGTACGGCCTGTGTTAATTTTTGTAAACTGGCTTTTGCTTTGCTTCGCGAACACTGGCTGTAAACTCTTGCGGAAACTTTTGGTTGCTCATCGACTTCTTTTGCATATTTGCAGTTGTATGGCCTGTGTTAATTTTTGTAAACTGGCTTTTGCTTTGCTTCGCGAACACTTTCTGTAAACTCTTGCGGAAACTTCTGGTTGCTTATCCACTTCCTATGCATATTTGTTACCAAAAAATTTGCAATAGTAAGGAATTGATTTCATCCAACAAGATGAAACTGGACAAATTTGTTTGCGCTGTTTGTACCTTGAGGATACATATTTAGTAGTGCTATAAGTACTGTTAAGAAAACTACTCTGGGTGAAAAAAGTACTGCACATATCAATTTCATACTGATTGTGCTTGTTTACTAATTATTAAATAACAGTCTAATTATATGTTGTGTAGTTTACTAATAATAATAATAACAACCATCAATTATTTTATTTATGTTCTGTATGATATGTGTATGTTTCATAGCAGTATTTTTATGCGCTGAATTTTATAAAGTACAAATGTCACCCCTCCCCTCCCCCTCCCGCTCTTCTGATGCAACAATACCCTCTCAGAATCAAAGAGTTAGCACTGATATTTCTTTACTTTTGCTGGAACAACTTTTAGTGAACATCTAAACGTTATTGATGTTTATGTTCATGTTGACTGTAGTAAAAGCATTTTTGTTTGTCTGTAAGAGCCTTTATTGTTATTTTTATTCGGCACACTTATTTACCTTAAAAATGACGTATAGTTCTAAAAAAAATATGCCGAAAATTAATGAAACTAGTTTAATTTGTGTATAAATCTCCTCAATAAAATCTGTGGACGCAGAGGGACTCAATTCTTGCACAAGAACGGGAATTCCCGTTCGAGCTGTACGGTCTTATAAATCTGGAGCTGGCCGTGGTACGTGTGTGTGTGTGTGTGTGTGTGTGTGTGTGTGTGTGTGTGTGTGTGTGTATATAATATATATATATATATATATATATATATATATATATTATATATTATATATATATATATATATATATATATATATATATATATATATATATATATATATATATATATATATATATATATATATATATATATATATTCGTGCATATAAAAACTACCCTTGCTTTGTGTATTTTACTTGTTTACTTGACATCCGTAAGGTGGGGGTTGGGGGGGTTTCCGTAGTGATTTAGTCAAGCCGTTTGCCTCGCGCTCTAAAGGTCATGAGTTCGTTTTACGGCGGCGCCGTTCAGTTCAGAGTACAATTTTTATGGAGATCCCTGGAAATCGTCGCCGGAGCAAACGGAGGTCGTGCTCCGTGTCACGCATTCGGCAGGCGGTTTGCTGTTCTGCGGCCAGAGACTGAGCCATATGGGACAAAACCCGATGAAACGAAGTCGATCCTCTCACCTTTACTTTACCTTTAATTGATACCCATATTGTTTGCTGAACATAACATGCTTTATAAATTTAAAAAAAAAATAGTACTGTTAAAAATGAGTGCTTGGGGGGCTGAATATACGACGCACCTGGGTGCTCAGTTTGTGACCCTTTGAAAATAAAGTTTGTCCGTTGGTTCTGTGATTGGCACTCTCAATCCAGCTAGCGACTCCAAACGTATGTAGGTCTGTGGATTTCTTTGTTCTCCACCGTCTTCTTGGTCTGCGACGTGGTCCATGGCAAAACAACTCCCTTGTGTACACGTTATTTGCGTGTCTTATAATATTAAGTTTTACCCCTCCATATTTTCATTCTCTACGATTAACATCTCAAGGTTGAGATACAAATCCTGGAAACTCCCTTTAACCCGTATGAGTACATTTATCCTGGGACACAACAAAAGGGTTAGTAAGTGACCTGTAGTTCAGTGCTCTCTGCCATTCTCTCTATATGCCCAGCCATGACAGTCGATTGCCCCCCCCCCCCCCCTCCCCCATAACACAAACTACTGTCGTCCCCATGTGGGATGCAATTTTTAGTTATTCTGAAGCCCTACCATAGCTTTTGCCGGAGCCCTAAATATAACCAGGCTTAAATGTGGCCTAACGGCTGAACGAGGTTTCCGGGATCTCTCCACGGGTGATCCTCATCCGCATAGTGGCACTTTATGTTATCGGCTGTTTGTCGCTTGTTAGATGTCTTGGTGGGGTGCAACTTACCTACTAACCTAGGCTCCATAATGCCAGTGATCAGTTGTGATTTTATTTTTCTTCTTGGCGTTCACAGGCTGTAAACACGTGTGACACGTTGTGGTTTCTCGTCTCCTTCTGGACTTTGCTCTTGTTCTAGAAGCTTTGCGTGTCTTTTGTTTTGCGGATTTTGCTTATTTGTGTGCAGGTTTCTGGTTCCATGCCTCTCATGCAGATGCACTCCAAATTTGAAAGAAACACCCCTTATCAATCACCTCCTACGACATGCTTATTAGACAGCAGTGGACCCCACAGGGGGTATCAGTCGTGATTTAAACAGATTATGAATTTCTTTGTTACTTCTCAATCCCCATTACCCCATGTTTGCATCTTCGACATATCCCAAAAATAAGTCGCAAGACTGTTTTCCAAAATTGGTAATAGGGTTTCGTCTCTTTTAGTTCAAATGCAAATTTCAGAACCACATCAGACACCTTGACTTATCAACTTATGTATATGTGTGTGTACACACACACACACACACACACACATATATATATATATATATATATATATAGATATATATATATATATATATATACACACACACACATATATATATATATATATATATGTATTATATATACACACATATATATACACACACATATATACAAATATACATATACAATGTTGAAGAAGTTGAAATTTGGGTTCTTTCCTAATATCATACCCCCAGATGACGTTACAGGACAGTCCAATATTTTAAAGGGTGGTAAGACTGAGTGTCCCGGCTTTCTGATGCTTTTAACCACCACAAAACCTCTAGAACTGGCCCTAATCCAAACCCACCTACGTCCCACGAGAGAGTGCAGTCTAGGTTCGAGGACTGCATGCAGCCTAGGTCCCACGACTGCATTTTTTAGCTTCATCCATTAAGAGAAGATGGTGTTTTTACTATCTCTGGTTTATCTTCTCCAACTATACCAATGCCATCTGCATAACTAAACATTCTTCCTCCACTTTCTTTTGTAATTTTCTATAGGATCGTGTTGAGTAGAAGCGGGGTTAAGGCATCACCTTGCTTAAAGCAAGATGTTATTTCAAAAAGGCCTGATTTTCTGACTTTATATGTTACTATTGTGTCTTCCAGTTTTGGTCTGATCACGTTGATTAAATACTTTGATTGGCCAGATAGAAATATGGTTTCTATCGGAGATACATCATTTAAGCTGTTAAAGTAGTAGCAGTAATGTTTCAAAAGTATCCTGTTCAACGCTCAAAGTTATAATTCTAATATATAGTGTTGAGTTCTCAAAGTTTATATATGTTAT